GGTGCGTCGATACCGTCCCGTCGGACACGCGTGCGAGGCAGCGTGCCTACCCCGCCGGGCGCTCTGCGGGCCCGCCAGCGCAGCGCCAGCAGCCAGCAGCAGCAGCCAGCTCCAGCAACACAGCCTCCGTCAGCCTCGCCGCCATCGGGATGATGTTGTTCTCCTGGCAGGGGTGGTGAGGTCGGGGATCACCACCCTCCCCCGTCGCGCCCCTCCTCCGCTACCCCTCTGTTGTTGAACGTGACAACGCAATACATTTTCCAGATACGCCGAGGCCGCACCGCACCGCACCACATCCCACCCCCCACGCAGCGCGGGAAGGTCAGAGAAACGGCGGCGTCCGAAACAACAACTACTACTACTCTGAAATAACTGCAATGTCCGTGCAGAAGAGCAAAGAAGCGAGGAAGGGGGGAGGGGAGGTGGGGCAGAGCTGCAGAGCTGCTCCAGCAGCCTTTTTTTGAGCGCGGACGTGTCCCAGGCCATCGGTAACAACCCCTCCCTCGCCCCCACCTCCCTCCGCTATCGCGCCTGATGGATTGCGCGTCCCCGCCGGTCCCTCCCTGGGCTTTATTGCGCTTAAAAAGATATGATGCGGATTAGCGAGCACTCTTGGCGACGAGCAATTATACGAGTTGGGGACCTCCTCCCCCGCTGCCCCCTCCTCAGCCTCCTGGACCCCAACAGCAGCAGTGGCGACCCGCGCGCGGGCCTAACACTTAATGGATATCCGCCTGGACGACGGCGAATGGGCGGTTGTAATAATAAGCAAGGTTATTATACAAAGCGGGGTGTTATTATTTTATTTTAAAGAGAGAGGCAAAAAGTCAGCCTCCAAGGCAGTCGTTTGACTGCACCCAAAAAAATGTGTTCTCAATTCAAGAAGATACCCAAAATTTTAAGGCAAATAGTGTAAATTTAAGTGTAAATAGGGGTTAAAATAAGAACATTTGCCTGAAAATTTTGGGGATCATCTTGAATTGAGAACAATTTTTTGGGGGTGTGGGTAAACCAGAGTACGTAGCAGGTAAATTGTGTGAAGTTAAAGTGTAACTGGCCTTCCTCCACTCGTCCCCCCATGATGTCCTGCTCGTGCTTCAATTTCAAATGACGGGCCACTCTCGGATTCAATACGGGGAGCGACAGTGTTCCTCTGCAGCAGCGGGTCGGGTCCGGGCGGGATTGAGATGGAAAGTAGAGGTGTTTGCCTACCTAGCAGACGTTTACTTTTGCGTGTGGGGAGGATACAGGCGGGCGAGCGAAAGCAGCTCGGAAAGCAGCGGGGGACGGACGAAGCGAGAGATGGAGAGAGTGAGAGGTTCACGTGAAGGGATGACGACGAGGAGCAGTGTACAGTGAGGGAGGGTGTTGCTCTGTATCCCCCGAGCGTCGTACAGCGCGTTGTGTTCTGTCAAAAGGCCCCAAATGATTCTTGTCTGTGGCGGTGGGGAGGGGTGGCTGGGTGTGCGTGCCCTTGCTCCTTGCGCGCGTGTATGTGTGAGTGTATGTGTGAGAGAGATAGACCGTGTTTGTGTGTGGGAGTGAGTTGGCCCGGGCGGACTGCACCACACAGCACACATGCGGCTGAATAAGGCGGACCGCATGTTACATTTGCCACAATTCAGCCAGGTCGGCTGTGGGGGGCGTGAGGCGCTGGCGGGGCGCGGGTGCCGGGGGCGGCGCGCGGGGGGCGGTTCGGTTCGACGTGCCCGGCATGGTGAGCCGAGGCGGGGCGCTGACAAGGCGCTGATTGCTGGTCCTTCCGCCACGCCCCGCCACGCCCCGCCACGCCCCGCCACGCCCCACCACGCCCCGCCACGCCCCGCCACGCCCCGCCACGCCCCGCCACGCCCCACCACGCCCCGCCACGCCCCGCCACGCCCCGCACGACTGGGGGTGGTTTTCGTGCGGCGTGCCGATGTTGTGATGGATAAGCTTGGAGCTGTATCGGGCCGGGAGGGTCATGTCAGATCAAAACAAGACGCACGCGCCCAGGAGCAATGTGTGTAACCGACTCTGCGGTTTCATGCCGCGAGCCTGGAGGACGGCGTTGGAGGGCACGGGGATTTTGATGACAGCGACTTTCTCTACACTACTTGCCTGACTTGTTTCTTTGCATTGATTGTTTTCAGGTCTTGATAAGGGTTGTAACTTCGTGTCCGCGGTTCGTGGACCAACACGGCCAGTGCTGCTCGCCCCCACCTCCCTTCCACCCTTTTCTCCTTCTGTTCTCACGACCCCCGTCTCGTCGGGTGGAGGGCCACGGGAAACGTACCCAACCACCCGGAGAGAGTTTGTGGACGCCACGAGGAGGCCTCGGGCTCGGGCCACCGGTGTGGCGCGCGCCCCCCCGGGCCACGATGCTTGTCTGCAGGACTTTCTTTGTTCGCCGGGCGGCGCCTCCACTTCGGGGCCTCGGGGATTCCCAGCACGTCCAGCGCAGGCGGGTACGGTGCCCCCCACACTACTCACCACAGATACGCCCCCGCTCCGCCCCGCCTCGCCCCGCCTCGCCCCACCAGGGCCCGTGGCCCGCAGGACCCCGTGTTGTTGCGGCACGGCTGCAGGCTGCGGGGGTAACAGCTCCTGGCCGTGGTCATGAGGGGGCTGCTGAAGGTGAGTCGAGTGCGCGCGACGCGTCCTGCAGTCTTTTGCCCTCAACCCTCCCTCGCCCCTCAAGCTTTTTCAGCAGGACCGCAGAACCTCCACCTGCTCTGCGGTGACCCTCCTCGCCCACGCCCCACCCCCTCCCCTCTTGACCGCACAGAGGGCACTGGAAAGGCAATTACTAACTGACCAACGCTCGGTCCCGCCGCGCCGGCCCGGCTGGAGAGGGGTGTGTAAGGACTGACTCTGACGGACGTCCCGGTTTGTAGCGTTTGTAGCCACATAGTAGTTGGTAGCTACAACACAACACAACCGACGCGGCCAAATGCAACTTCATCCGAACCAGAGTAGTCAGAATATCTGTTGGCCTTCCAATGGATACGTTGGGTATCAAAATGAGTATAAAGGTAAGATACTAGTATCCTCTGCAGGCTCTGTAACCGTCATTGGCATCCCCGCTCTCGCTGGGCCCGTCGGTGCGATCCGCCCACCCGCCAGACGCCAGATAGGCAACTCCTTGAACGCCGCTTGAAGCGACGTGCAAAACCAGGCAAAACCAGCCCCAACCAAACCAACCCCCTCTCACGTCCGATCCCGGTAGAAAGCGTCGTGGTTCCGAAAATGAGGATCGCGTCTCTCACCTGCCCTGATGGAGAAAAGCCGTTTAGCACTAATATCGACAACCAAAAGCGCAACGCCTAGGATAGGGGGGCCTTGGTCTTCCCACCTGGACCAGAAGCACCAAGTCAGCCCTACCCAGCTTCAGCTGCCTCGGCCGTCCTGCGCCCAGCCGCGGCGCTCGGCGCTCACATCTGCCCTGCCCACTCCCTGCGAGGCGGACCGCCTATCTCATTAAACAGGCATTAAAAGTTCGGCCCCCAGATGAAATACGGTGTATACACCGAGGTGAGGGGCGGTGGTGCTGCCGTAGGTAGGGGCGGGTGGGGTTGGCCTTCACCGATCAGACGGGCCACATGCTGGGGGCGTTATTGTATCTTATTTTCAGGGTTCGAAAATATTTATTGTGTCTATAAAAACCGTAATAAATTTCTACAAATAAAGCATGAAAATCCACCCACCACTTTTAATCAATTCTGATAATTTCCTGTCACTTTTGATGGTAAATTTAGCCTGATTATCACTACCTCACTACCTCTGTGAATAGTAAATTCAAAATAGTGGTCTGCAGCACGTCTGCAGTGGTTTTTAACAGTCCAAAAGGGAATAGATAGGGAGACATATTTTATACCAATATTTATTATTATTTAATAATTTGCATATATCTTTTTTTACAATTTTTACATCATACTAGTTTGTACAATTATTAACAGTCAGTCATACGTACAAAAAAAATTCAAAGATGAAATATCACATATCCAATCCTCTCATAAAATGAGCCTTGATCTCACGAGAGGAGTATGCACCTAGTCTACAAAATAGTACGAAACACAAAACTAGGTTGTGTTCAAAATTTTATCTTTCTTCACATACTTACAATAATTTAGTTGTCATGAGTATATTCAGTTAAAGAGAGTGTATTCTCATTTTGCTACTGAGGATAAGGTCTCTAGTGAAACACCAATGAAGCTTAAACTCACTTCCACATCTAATCCTCAATAATAAAAAATGTTGACATCTAAGAGAAAAAATTACAAATACCTTTGACTACTTATAAATGGAGTCATTCATTGTTAACGATAATGGGGAGACGACTTACTTAAAGCAGCTAGTATCTGAAGTTTAAGAGGAGACTAAGACCAGCACCAATGCCTGCTGAACCTTTGGTAAAATCTCTGCCACTAACTGGCTAATGGCTATAAATGGCAGGGAATCTACCAACACATTCTGCACAGCACAGAATATATGATGCTTACAGCATATTCTTTACATGAACGAACAAGGCTCAGATACCGCCACCTAAATGGGTAATTCCTTATAAGATCACTTTGAAAAAAATTTCAATTGGACTAAGTTTTGAAGATTTAAAGGCAAATATTTCAGTAGCAAACAGAATATAGCAAAATCCAAGTGTGAAGCATTGTTGTGTCCCTGGAATGATGAAGCGTATCAGTGCACACAAATCTTGATTTCCTACAAGCTTCAAATAGGGACATACTGTCAGGCATAATATGAAGGCCAGAAACATTTACCAGCCTACACACAATCTATGATCGTGTAGGAGTAAGTGTGATTCAGGTTTGTAAATTGCATCTCAGAAAGGCAGCTACAGATCAGTTGCAAATCCTTCAATACTCCCAACCAGCAAAGTTCATTTTCAAAATGAATGATTTTAAATGGGAACTAAATGGCCACTGGGTTCAAACAAATGTACCAATGTACATCTCATATCTGTAGAAAAATTTTGGTGTTGTAGGATAGGAATGACACTGAAATTCTTGCTTTCAATAATGTTCTTTTTCGTCTTTGAAAAGAGTACAGGACAAAACAATGCACAACCATATTGAACTAGACCCAGGCACATGCTGCCATTCCCAGCCAGCTCATAAGAAAAATCAAGTAATGAGCAGAATCAAGTTTTGACAAGCCAGGAAAATAAATATACAAGCTTCTAGTAGGACAACCTTGATGGAGCTACATGCCCATTATAAAAGGTAATGGTCAAAATACAACACTGAATAAGCATTCTTTATGTAACACAAGGTTCTGAGAAAAAAAAAATTATGTTGGCTTTACAAGACGTACTACAAAGAAAATAAGAGAACAAAAAATAAAAATCTTAGCCATGTGATTCTATATACCCATCAACAAAATTTAATAAATAATAGAGCTTGGTTGATCAAATTTTCCTAATAATTCATTAGCAAGAGAAGCTGCAAAAAAGCAACAGATCATATTACTCCTTTTAAAATGAATGAGTTATCCTGAATTTGCAAGAAAAGGAAATAAAGTAGTGTACCTCAATTAGTTGGGCACTGCCTGCTGCAAACGTTCAATTTCTTCTACACTTAGCATTCCTTGAGCAGGAATGGAAGGGCCTGATCTGGCAGATTGAGCGAGGACCTCTGGGGAGAACCAGCGAGACAGTTGATTGGTGTTTGATGAAACATCTCCAGAGCCTCCATGGGACATTGCTGTAGAAAAATGGATACATGAACAAATCTTGCACAATGCATAATTCATTAGAATAAAAGTCTTTAATAAAAACGTACCACTTTTTTGATTGGAGAAATGTGCCCCCATTAGCATTTGTTGAAGAGGAGATGTGTTGTGCTGCTGATTCTGCATTCCACCATGCATAGACTGCATGTGTTGGCCTACACATAAAAAATAAAATTTAAAAAATTTAAAGTGGAAACAGAACAAACATTTGTTTGCCTTCTCTATTCATGAAGGCATGAAGAAGTTCTGTCTGCAATTTCTGAGAAGTGAGGATGCTAACCGCGTTGATTTGATGATTGAGGCATTCCAGGTCGAGCTTGCATTATATTCATGTTGTACTGCTGAGTTTGTTGAGCCATGTTAGGGGGAGGAGTGCTCAGGGTCATCTTGGAGCGAGTATTGTACTGAGGTTGAGGGGGTGGTGGACCTCGCAAGTATGCAGGCATTCCTTGCATTTGCTGAAGATGGTTCTGTGAGCCACCACTAGGCTGGGATGGAAAACTATCATTCCCTGAGTAGAAGTTGTTGTTGGACTTCAAGATAGGACGACCTAAACAGGATATAAGTGCGCTCATTAGTTAACAGAACAAGAAAATGTAAATGGAGAACCACAAATATTAACTCTGCTTTGGAAAATCTAACATTTTAAGTATCATGCACCAAACAAAGTCTGGTAACACAAGATATCAGGTACACAAGCAAATGTTCCTAATTACAAACACATGAAAAGCAGGCTAACTATGCATCAAATTATCAGTCAGGGTGTTAAAAGAAACATGCACAGGATTCAAATTCTGGAATCCTCCAACTATAGATTAGATCATACAAGTTGCTGGGAGATAAATGACCAGCTTTCAAAAGTAAGATTCAGAGATTCAGAATTTTTTTTATAAAGCAAAGCGTAAAGAGAAAAGCAGACAGGGCAAGAAGGTCAGCATCAAAACCACAGCAGCACCTAGATTATAAAAGCAACAAATGGAAGTAAACTTCTGCTAAAGCAATTTAAACACACTGTAAAATCTGGTTGCAAAAATTGATTTAGGTACACAAAATAGAGAAGTGGCAAGTAAAGCAGTGCTGTCATGCAGTAAAAATAATTTCTTCATGATAACAGCAGAGCACTGACCCTGTGGCTGAGCCTGAGATTTGTTCTGATTCCAATTTGGAGGTAATCTATGCTGCTGATGCTGCTGAACCTGAGAGGCTGAAAGTTGCATGTTCTGTTGTCGAGGTCCTTGCTGCATTTGTTGCAAGTCACTTAAACTCATTCCACCTGGAAGCCCATTTGCACATAGTGTTATAATCAGAATCTTCAATTTGAAGATACTTCTCAAACCGCCCAAAAACTGGCAACAGTTACAGTGAAACCTGGATAGTGAGAACTTGGACAGTAAGGATACCTCCTTCTAAAGCAATATTTAGATGAACCAATGTCAAATATGTCATGTGAGCACCTCGTTATACCATTCTGAGACCCCAGTCACGAGCAATTCTTACTATCTAGGTTTCACTTTAGAATTGTCCATAAATAGAAGTTCAACTAGCAAAACATTCTCTTCAGATTCCACTTTCCCTCCCATCAAAGAACAAAACAAATTAAGAACAACATTTACATATTCAAAGGATGAAGAAAGAGTTCAAGATGAGAGAAAGCTACACACCTATCTTCTGATCGCCATCCTTTTCAGCATTCATTTTCTTCAACACAGATGTAGGAGTGAAAGCTAGTGGCGTTGGGGAAGACATGGGATGCTTCACATCCTTATTCATAGAGCTATTGTTGAAGTTTCCAACATTTGGGGAGATGGACCTGATAAGCATCATAAATATTTAAAAAATTTAAAAATAAGATAAAAAAACAATGAAAAGCAAACGGTAGCTTGGGACTGACCTGTGAGTTTCTTGGCGCTTCCTGAGGGCTTGTTCTCTCTGTTCTTCGAGTTTTTTCTTGATCAATGCTGACTGCATCAAGTGTTGTGCCTGGGGATTCATGTCCCTAGGTGATGGAACTCTCTGACCTAAATCAAGATATCAATTAGCACTGACGGAATGGATGTACTGACAAATTAAGAATTCAATGAATCACTCCTACCAGACTGGGTTTTCAAAATACTCAATAGCAGCTCCTGATGACGGCGGGTAATAGCAGGGTTTTGCAATTGCTGCACAAGATTCTGAGTGGTGATCTCTCTTTGCGCCAGACCTGAAGAGAAGATACTCATGAAGGTTTCCTCTGATAACATTCACAGGTATTTAATAAGAAAGTGAAAATACAGTACCTCTGAGAATGGCTTGAGCTTCAGCCCGCTGAAGCAAGTCATGATTCAGAGGAGTGTTTGCAATTAAGGTCTGGACATCTGGTGGTAATGGAGACCGATTGGGTTGAACACTGTTAAAATGATCGGATTGCAACATTTGTCCTTGTCGTCGGTTTGCCTGTTGGTGCATCTGATGGGATTGGTGCATTTGCTGCTGAGACATCCTAGCATTGTTCATTAGTTTAGATAACATATCTTGTGGATGTTGCCTCTGTAACAACAAAAAAATGCTCATTTAGACATCATTGTTTAATCACATAACCCAAAATTAAAAGTTCTATTGAGAACATGCCTGTTGCTGTTGAAGTTGATGCTGCTGCTGTTGCTGCTGCTGCTGCTGTTGTTGATGAGGGTGCTGTTGTTGCTGTTGCTGCTGTTGCACTTGAAGTAGTTTCATAAGAAGCTCTTCCGGAATATTATATGGTTGTGATGATTGTGACTGAGAATGATGTTGACCTCCATGACCAGCAGGACCCATTGAACCAATTGCTGTTTGTGGCATACCTGGAAAGGCACCCATAATAGCTGCAAGCCAAATGTTAAATGAGATCACAAAATAAAAGATACAGAAAAAGAAAAAAGAAAAATTAACTGAAATTACCATTGTTTGATGCATTAACTGGCGCTTCACTAGCAACTTGAGGCTCCATATTTCTCTTCATGATCTGAAGTTTGACAAAAACAAAAGAATTTAGGGTCAACAGTTCTAAGTAAAGACCCAACTGCACACAGTAAAAATTACATGACTATTAAAACATATGAGACACAAAATACATACCAGCTTCTTTAACGCTGCTACTTCATCTTCCTTGTGTTGCATGTGCTGTTGGAGACCACCATGGTGCACTACACTAGCAATAGCAGGATCTGCTAATCGTGGCTCTCTAACAGGTGGCATTGCTCCCCCTTCAGGCTTGGGTCTCATCCTGGCTTCTAGTTCCTCAACACTGTGAATCTTGCCAGATACTTCTATACAGAAAACAATAAAGAGTAGAATTACTTAAAGGGGAAAAAACTAAGACATCATAACACATGATAAGGATGTTATTTACCTAAGTCTCTAATACTTGGAATTTCACCTGGAGCGGGATGAGTTTGAGCATCAGAGCCCCGACGCAACATCTCCAAAAGTTTGTTTGGAGCATTTTGCTGAGAAAGTTTAGCTTGAAGCTGTTGCTGCTGAAGATGTAACTGTAACTGTTGCTTTTGATGAAGAGAACTTGCAGCTGGTGATATTGGAGCAAAAAAGCTGTCCAATTCATTACCACTAGGAATAGATATTGTTGGCTCAGTTATGTCTGAAAAAGCGCAAAATAATGATCATTTCCAACTAAAAAAACACACTGATCTTAAGTCACAATACCTCACCATTGATCATACTTGTTAGATCATCCGGCACTGTTCTCATGCTATCATCATTTGTAGGACTATTTCTTGAGAACCACTGACGGAATCGTGAGCCCCCAGCTGTAGCTTCTGCCTGACCACCATTCTGAAACACAAGTACAGTATTAATAAAAACCATGAAAATAAGGTAAGACATCACATTTCAATGAGAAGGGTATCACTAAACGATGTATAAGGGAAAACTTACCAAATTTAAGAGGGGCAATGAATCAATCTTCAAGAAGTCATCAAGGTTGAAGTCAATATGAGCAGAGTTAGTTGAATTACCAGCCTTTTCAGCTATGTCTGCACGTCCATTTTCAACACGGGCTGAGGAATCTTCACTGATGTCCATGCGTTCCTTGTGTTCTTTGGAATCATTAGCAGCTTCAGCTAAAGTCCGATTTTGCTTCGCTCTCTTCTCCTTTGTGTCTGGCGATGAAGTTGCCAAAGGCCCTCCAGCTCTTGACTTATCACCCTTACCATCTAGAAATACATACAACAGGATTACTGCATTAGAAAGTAATTTCATTTGATGACACTTCCCCTACATACACATAAGAGCACTATGTGTATCAGAACTGAAAAGTAACACAGTGGAAGTCAAGATAATCCTACCAGGAGAAGCCTTCTTCGATGTCTCTTGAGGAGGTGGAGTAGAAGCAGTTCTGCCACTAGAAATGCTTGAATCAGAAATTTTCCTACCACCAGGTGCTAGTCTTGAGTCTGAATAAATAACAAACATTTAGTTACAATTTACACTAACACCTAAATAGTTGAGTGCTGAAAAATTATGAATCATGAACGGATTCACACTGTGGTACTTATTTAGAAGTACTTACTGGCTTTAGCTCGTGTGTTCTTCTTTCCCCGTCCAGTAACTTGGCCATCCTCCGGTATGTCTTCAAATCCGCGCAACTCAATAGTGTCATGCTGAGAAGTAGGACCAGCTGGAATCAAAACAAAATCAAAAATAAATGAGTGGTTCAAACAAAACAACATAGTAGCCAATTTCATTTTACATACCAGAGAACCATTCCGGCTCCTCCTCCCTACTGTCATGACGTCTCCTTCCATAGCGGTTATCTCTCATGTCATCTCTCCGATCTCGATCGTCACGTCTACCTCTGTCGTCTCTCCCATCTCGATCCTCTCTGTCAGGTCGTCTCATCAAACGGTCAGTCATCCTGTCATCAACACGTTCATGTCTCTCATTACGTCCTTTATCCGCTCTCCTATCGAAACGATCTTTATCGAGGTCTCGATCACGCTCGCGGTCACGGTCACGTTCACCATCCCGATCACGTTCACGAGGAAAGTCCCAGCCGAATCCCCGCCTTCGGTTCTCATGCCTACGCAAAGAGAAAATCAATTCGTCAGGACTAGCAATGCTCATTTGAGCTGGGTGTCATTGGCAAGCCAAGAAACCCACCTTAAATCAGCATCCCTGTCTCTGTGATTGCGGTCAGAGTCAGCACCTCGACTCAACGGACCAGAGCCTGTACCCCCACCAGGCCGAAATGAGCCATGCTCTGGAGCAAGCGTTCCATCAAGCTGGTCCCAAACAGCTTCTCGCATTTCCCAAGAGGGCTCTCGAAATTCCCAAGGTGCATCACGAGCAGGGATTCTCCCACTACCGATTCGTCGCGCAGTAGGCAGCTCACGATGGCCAATGTCTCGGCCAAGAATGAGGTTGCTATTACAACAGACATTATTAAAGAATCGCACAAAATGCCAAAGTAGAGGATTTGGCAGTAAATTATCAAAAGCGTTGGAAACGCTTATTGTCACTGTACCTCTCAGGTTTCCCTATAGGACTTTCAGGCCTTCGTCCAGCTCCAGCTGATTGAGATGGGGGAACATAACATCCAGAATTAAAGCTGCGACGTTGCGGACTAAGAACAATACCATCCTGCTCTTTCTTGACTCTTTCCCGAGGGTCATTAGATCGCCTCTGAAATAGGAATAAAATAAAGGTCAGAAATTGAAAAAAAAAAGAAAAAAAAGGAACTAAAGGCAAATTCCCAAGGAAATTTGAAAAACCCACCTTCTCAGCATTGCCTGTTGAATCCCCTCGACGGCGAGAATCTTCCTCGGTAGGAGTTTCAGATCGTTTGCGATCTCCATGCCCTGCAATGGCCCTGGGAATTGAAAGAGAAAATAATAAGCAAAAATAAAACTAAGTAAGTATAGAAATTGTAAAATCAGCAGATCATACTCATTATTTGGATTGTCCAAACATGCTGGTCTTTTGTTTGCTAAGGGATGAGATCTCAACTCCATAAGCCTCCCCTAGAAACATATGTAAACATGTAATTTCACAATTAATAAAATTAAGAAAGAGGCACACATAACTAATACAGTGAGAAGTTAGTTAAAACATACCCGAGTATACTTAAGATCAGGAGCATGACGAGGATGTTCATCATCATCTTTGTCATCACCAGACAGACCACCTTCACTCATAGCAATAGTCTCCTCCGCTTCATCTGTAGAACAGAAATTCAATACATTACAACAAAAGTATTAAATTGTTAGGTTTGTTGCATGAATAGATCAACTGATAAAATTGATCAATGACCTCAACACATCAGAATCAACACATACAAATACTATTTTACGTACAATAACTAAAAATACAGCTCTAAAACAACAGTTTTCATTTTTAAAACTTATACTGCTAGTATGCAAATCGACGCCACTGAACAGTTCTAAGAGAAAGTACAACATAGAAAGATAAGAACATTTTATAATTTATCAACATTAACATGGAACGAAATCTGTGATCATATTTCGAATACGGAGAGTGGGCATGTCGAAAAAAAAGGGATGGAGAGGGGGGGGGGGAGATGAAAGAGTAAGCCTGTAGACGACGGTGGAGGCGGGTAGTTGACCTCTGTCAAATGGGCCCGGCGCAAACCGGTGCTATCAGCTGGCCTGAACGGGATTTGAGGAAAAGGCACAAGATGTGAGTAGTACTTACTCCCAGAGCGCTTCCTCCCAGACCTTGAGCGGAACCAACGCATTCCCCCATTCTGTGTTGTTTTTCCTTGCAAAGGTCCACCCGCGGGGCCCCTGGGGCGCTTCCTCGCCCTCGACCTACGCACTCTGATTGGACCGGCGCCTTCCATGTCCAGCTTGTGTCAAAACTTGTCAAATTTCACAAAACGAACGTAGTCCAAAGAACGGAACCTTATCAAGAATGTCAAAAACGACGACACTCGCTTGCAAAAGTGTACGTCGCTAAAAGTTAAAGCAGGCTATCGGTCCCGTGCTTCTGGCACGTGGTAGTACGGATAAAACTCAAAAAGTTATAAATTGAAAATATGTCACAGTTCAACATAAAATCAAACGTCAGGGTCGGTCCGGAGTCTAGTGATCGCACGGCACGACACGGCGAAACAGTCCCGAGAAACGCGCAAGCTAATCCGCTTCTCTACGCCGCCACTGACTGACACTGCGAGCTCACCACCGACTGACCGACTGTCGGACGACAAAAGTTTCCGGGGGGGAGGGGGAGGGGAGCGGGTGGGTGGGGAAGGAGAAGCGTAAGAGCGTAAGGCGGGAAAGCCTTCCGGTCAATCAAACAGCTGCGCAGCTCGCGCGCCCGGGGGGATTGCTTCAAATTACTGTTGTACACCCAAACTGCCTACAAGATAATGCAAAAAATTTCCTGATGCCTCATGAACCAATGTCAAACAATCTGTTCCTGGCGAGGTAGGTAAGAGAAATCCTGAGTGAATAAGATAAGCACATGACAAGTCCAAGTATTCTTAGGGCAGAAATTCAACTTAACACAGAAAAAGGAGACTGCTGCAGCCACAATGAAGAGAAGACCAGTGACAAAATCCATAATTGTACCATAGAAGTTGATTTCTTGCTTAATCTTCGACCTACTTTTACTTACAAGCACAGATGGGCTTTGTTTATATGTGTCTCTTCTGTGTCCCTTTTCCCATCAGATACTAATCCTATACCAAACTACAATTATTACCACTCAATGCAATGGTGGGTGAGCCGCATTGCCGAAGAATAGGAAAAGTAGAAACAAAAACAATAAAACAGCAAGTAAAATTGAAAGACTCCAGTACCAAGAAATTTTTAACCAGATTCATATGAAATATTACCATTTAACTCTAATAAATGTCTTAGAATGTGGACAAAGTTCTATGACAAGGGGGGCTTTTCACATAGCAAATTCTAATTCGTGGTTCAAACAGCGGTATTATAGTAACATTATGAATACTATGAATGTTATAAGCAGGGTTAACACACTGATTATACTGCTACACACCTGACCCAATGTCATAAAATATGGGGTCAAATAATTTACTAAAAATGAACTAAAAAATAATAAGCCCACCTCTAAAATAACTATAGGTGGTCGTAAAAAAGGCAAGGTATAATAAATGAATGCAAATTCTGAAGATTTTCACTACGAACGCAGTGACCATCCCCAAAACAACCATTACCAGCTTAAATGTGAAGAGCACTATTATCTAGCTAGTTTAAACATGCTGGTAAAAGAATTTAATGGTACACAGAAAAAGGTTTAGTTGTGTGGCTCTGGCGATCAAAATTGTACATAACTATTAAGCTGGGTGAATATCCACAAGAGGTTCCCCTGTGCAAAGTGGCTTATTAATAGAAACTGTAAAGGATCAACCTTATATGCCACATCGTTTAAGAAATGCAGGTCGACTATCAACCAGCCATTTAAATAGAAAAGGCTTGTCAAAAATCAATAGAAACTGAAGAAAACTAAAAGCAAAGTGCGAGAGAACATATGGAAGGAATTCATTGACAATAAGGGTTAGAATTACAAGTCAAGCAACAATTTTAAAGACAGATGTTGAGTACAAACCTAACCTACAAACCATTTAGGAATAAACTCACCTCCCGAAGTGGATTTTCGTTCCCTGGTTGTATCTATCTTCGCATCCGTTGAAGTGGACCTCGACATTATATTATTTAAATGTTCTATTCAATTAAAAGTACTAAGATCTTGGTTTAATAGGACAAGCCTATTACTAAAGTTGATATCACAGACTTCAAGTAAAAACTAAAATTCCATTGAAGGACACCGATTCTTGGTCCTATATACACTTATTCAGTCCTAAGCACAGCACAAAGTTGAATAACTCAAAGAGCACGTTTGTAAATGATGTTCATTAACAATTCCAGGCGTTCGAAAATCCACTGATGCAAAAATAGAAAATGTCGGCGTATGACCTCTTAACCACCACCAACTTGGTCGCTAATGATTGAACGCTTCTTTGGATGAAATGCAGAGTTTCCTCGCGATAAAAATTCCGGAAAGAGCTCAATGTGTTAAGAAGTTCATTCTGGAAACAGTGACAACAGCTTCAAGTCTTCTACAGCACATAAACTCTCGAATTACAATATTGTGATAACACTAACGCATCCTGCGCGCGACGTTTCGACTACAGACGGACAGACAGACGGACAAAATCAATGGCCGTTGTTGTGGTAGTGACGTTAGAGAAGAAGACATGCTGCACAACCTAAAAGAACTAAAATTGTTCCCTAAAATATGAACTGAGAAATGTAGAGCATCTTTGACAACATTAATTATACATAATATTATAACTGATTTAGGTTTAAAGTTATTTACAGTTTGCATCTTGTAAACTATAGATAACTCTAGCATGGTATGAGGTGTGGTAGTTGGTCAACATGGCAGCAGAAGGCAGAAAATAACCAAACTTAACTTCCCAAACAGAAACTCCGTTATCCGCGCCGCTTCAAATTTTAGTTGAAATGGATATTGAACTGCTTAAGACTTTAGACTGTAACCAAGGAGCTGTCAGATCTGTACGATTTAATGGTGCGTTGTTAACTTATCTTATTTCTCTTTGCCTTTCTAAAAATGTTTTATTTAATTGTCTCCAAGCTGCAATGGACTATCAACACAAAACAATTTCAGCAACTAAAGATTGATAACAATTTTATAATAATTATCAATTGAAATTTCATTTCATGTCCAATAGTTTGATTATTTTTATTTTCATTTTTCAGTGGATGGGGCATATTGCTTAACTTGTGGATCAGATAAAAAGTTAAAACTTTGGAATCCGTACCGAAATTTACTCCTTAAAACATATGCAGGGCACGGTAATGAAGTATTAGATGCATGTGGCTCTTGTGATAGTAGGTAGGAAACACTTCTGAGAACGGCATTAAAATTTCATTTTATAGTTGCACATTTAACCAAACTTCTGTGTTACAGTCAAATTGTTTCCTGTGGTGCTGACAAAACTGTGATAATTTGGGATGTTAGCACTGGTGCACCCCTCAGACGTCTACGAGGTCATGCAAGTAATGTTACTTGTGTAAGATTTAATGAAGAATCTTCAGTTGCAATATCAGGGTCTCATGATAACTGCGTAATGTGTTGGGATGTTAGAAGTCGAAAAAATGAACCCATGCAGGTAAGTTTGGTGCTTATTAAATGCTCTTTACAATGCTTAAATTTTCTCAGCAAATTACTCAATTCCTCACAGGTTTTGAAAGAGGCCAAAGATAGTATAAGCAGTATTCAGATTACAAATCATACAATTTTAACTGGATCTGTGGATTGTAGAATTCGTCAATATGACTTGAGAACTGGAGATCTTGTTAGTGATTTTGTTGGAGGTATTTATCCATTACCCACAATTTCCCCCTTCTATTTTACTTGTTTCATTCTGATAGCTGTACAAGAGTCTAGCAAAATATTAATTTCATATTATTTCAGAGCCTGTCCTCAGTGCAAGTTTTACTGGAGATGGTCAGTGCATAGTTGTTGGCTGTGGAGATGAATGTGTCAGGCTATTTGACAAAGACTCAGGAGAAATGCTTGGGGAGTGAGTACAGCCCATGTCAAGTTCAAACATATAGCAGCTTAAAATGCATTGTCATAATCCATGCTTCCACTGTCGGCAGGTACTCAGGGCACCGCACTGGAGATTTTCGGGTTGAAAGTGCTGTAGACAATACAGATGCCTTTATTTTGTCTGGTGCTGTAGATGGCAATATATGGTGCTGGGACATGGTGAAAGGAGAAGTTGCATCAAAATTGCAACATTCGCCTGGTGTAGTGGTCAACTCAATTCATCCTCACCCTTCTAAATCAGCTTTAGTCTCAGCAGCTGGACAGAATGTTAAATTGTGGGGTAAACCAGAATATCTTGACTCTGATTAGAAATGTGCTTGATCTATTGGATGATAAAGGTAAAATAAAATGCATTAGTATACTGTAACTTTCTGTATTATCACAACAAATCACTCACATTCTGTTGAAATAGCTACTATACACGTAAAAGGACAGAACTTCGAATAATGCTCTTCACCTATCAAAAACTGTAAAATAAATACATAAACCTAGACTTGATCATTATGGCAACTGTACATTCATTTGCATAATTATTCATTGACAAAGAATGCAAAATGGGGCAGCAACAGTATTAATAGTCTTACCAAAAGTACAGTTTTGGAAATTGTAGAATGGGAAGTTGGAATGACTATTTTCCCTTTAGAAATGTTACATAGCAAAGTTTTGAAAATTTCAATGATACCGACTCCTAACATCAGTTGATACAGTAGGTATTCTGTTATTTTTCATAGCTTCAATCAACTCTCACTTACAAAATATGGATTCTAGTTTTTTCTGTATAATATCCGATCATTATATGTTACTTTCACACACATACAGACTACAGCCCTGTTCAACCACAAGCACAGGGATATCTATCACTTAACAACTTAAAAAAATAGAAGCTTGACTCATTTACAGTACTCATTCTCAAAAAATTGTAATTAAACCTGGAAGCTAATCTATAATCTTATTCTGACTCGCAAGTTTAGTTACCACTTTTTCTTAATATCACACCGGAAAAGGAATCCACATGGGATGAAACGTGAAAATTTTCATCTTCGTGTAAAGATAAACATCTGCAGTCAGGGGTATGCTCTTACTTACATTATCCTTGAAGGGCATACCTCTGTCTATAGAGTTGAGAGATGATCCTTAAAATTAGGAACAATACAAATGGTTGATCAGAGTTGTAGATTTTTTATCTATTAAGTTACATAAGGAACATTTTTGCACTTTAAAGTAAGGGTTTCTCTTGGTCAAAACTGAGTATGAGCTGACTTCAGTATCTTAATACTTTTTACATAATGACAAGTATAGAGGTTTGGTGGGAAATTTGTGACACTCAACTGACTATTGTAACAACCCATCGCATCTAGGATCTCAGTAATGGGAATAAATGCAACTTGACATACCCATTCATTGCGGACCTTGGTAGTCCCGATTGTTATCTCAGGCCATCACAGCATTCAGTCTCGTTCCGTTTCACCATTTTCCTTTTCTTCCCATAAGATGAGCTGCAGTTCCATGATAATACATAATGTCAATAGAGAACTTTGGTTAATTTATTCTGGTGAGATGTTTTATAAGTAAGTTTATAAATACCTGAGAAAAGCATATATAGCAACTAGGATTTATGAAATTAGGTACTTTACTGCAGTAACACAAAATTGTATGCAGAATTTCAATAGGTATTGAAAGGGCACCAGGATTATTGATTTTCCCTCAAGATCTGTTGGTAACTGATGCTGGACAAATTTTCCAGAAAAGAATGGGTTTGAATAGGCCTTTTTAAGAAAATGAATGAACAGTTTGTTCATTGAGTACTAAAACAGAAAATACTAAACTTATCGAACAAAAAACAATACAAAGAAAACTATTAAGGACTAACATAACCATAACGAACATAAATATGAATACAAAAAGTCTGATTAACTTAACTTCTGCTCAGTATTGCTGGAAAAAAAATTGGAGTACTGGCAACAACAACTAATAATTATGAAAACATTTCTATTAACAAAACACAAAAAGGAAAACATCACACATTTTAGTGTAAGTACTTTCAAATTGCTTGCTTGGGAACAGCACTATTAGAGATGATTACAGAAAAGGCTGGGAAATTAATTTCTTTTAAACTGAGGCATTAGAAAAGGAACATTACATTTGAATAATTTCAAAAATCAACTTTTTCATAGTGGATATGGATTTGAAGTATGTTGAATTAATGAGAAGGAAAAATAATCCATCCATCAAAACAGCTTAGTTTTGCAGTACAGTAAATCCTCTTTGAACTTGAACTTAAAACACAGATAGTTCTAAAAAAAGGGGGGGG